GCCCTCTGCGCTTGCTCCTTCGCATTCGGAGGCGGAGTTGGCCCAAAGCAGGGCCTCCTTGCCTGCCTGCCTGCTTGCTCCTTTGGGGAGACTCAGTTATTGTGCAAGAGGAAGGAGCAAGCAGCACCACCTTACTACCGGCTCTCCTTGATGTTCAAAGTAAAGGGAGATCTATTGGCTGCAAGGGGAAAAGGAAGGAAGAAAACACAGAAAAGCAGGTAAGGAGGGAGGGAAGGGCTTTCTCGGTTTGGATGGAAACTGGGGGTGTATCTACACTGCAGAATGAATGCACTTTGTCACCGCTTTAACTGCCATGGCTCAGTGCTATGCAGCCCTGAGCTGTGTACATACACTAGCAGAAAAGACCAAAGGTCTGGTAAAACCACAAATGCCATGATTGCACAGCATTGAGCCTTGGGAGTTAAAGTGGGGTCAAACTGCATTAATTCTACAGTGTAGATGTACTCTAGAGCAGCATGGATCCCTCCTCTGGTCATTTATCTCTGTCTGGATCCACACTGCTAGATAATCCAGGTTATCAAATCAAATAATTTACTTATTTACAACATTTATATGCCGCCCTTCTCACCCCAAAGGGGACTCAGAGCGGTTTACAAGATATATATACATACAGTATATTATATTATTAGCATAGTGGGTTTTTTTGGTCGTGTCAGGAGCGACTTGAGAAACTGCAAGTCGCTTCTGGTGTGAGAGAATTGGCCGTCTGCAAGGACGTTGCCCAGGGGACGCCTGGATAATTTGATGTTTTTATCATCCTTGTGGGAGGCTTCTCTCATGTCCCCGCATGAAGAGCTGGAGCTGATAGTGGGAGCTCATCCGCCTCTCCCCGGATTCAAACCTGCGACCTGTCGGTCTTCAGTCCTGCCAGCACAGGGGTTTAACCCACTGCGCCTCTAGGGGCTCCTATTAGCATAGTACAATATCAGTATTATATATTACTATATTGTGCTATACTGTTATATTGCAATATTATTAGTAATATTACATGTAATATAAAATATATACCTATAATATCATATTATTATTGGTATTATATTATATATTATATAAATAAATAATCCAAGTTATGGAATCAAATAATCCAGATTATCTTTCTTGAACTGGATTATATGAGTCTACACTGCCATATAACCCATTTCCAAGTGGATAATCTGGATTATTTTATACAGCAATGTAAATGAGGCTTCTGCCAATGCATCAAAACCATGTCGGGAGATTTCGACATCAAAACCATGTCGGGAGATTTCGACACTATTTTTTATTTTATTGCTGTGTAATTCAAAATATGTAAACGTTGTTTTCCTCCTATATACTCATGGTCTGTTTCATATCTGAAAGGTTTGGAACCAGAAATGTTTTAGATTTTGGAATATCAGTATTTGTAAATATACATTCTTTTTCCCCCCTGAAAACTAGTCAATTATGGCTGGATCTACACTGCCATATCATCCAGTTTCTGATTCATTGAATCATAGAGTTGGAAGAGACCTCATGGGCCATCCAGTCCAACCCCCTGCCAAGAAGCAGGAAAATTGCATTCAGAGCACCCCAAACAGATGTCCACCCAGCTTCTGTTTAAAAGCCTCCAAAGAAGGAGCCTCCATCATACACCGGGGAGAGAGTTCCACTGCTAAACAGCTCTCACAGTCAGGAAGTTCTTCCTCATGTTAAGGTGGATTCTCCTTTCCTGTAGTTTGAAGCCATAGTCTCCAGAACAGCAGAAAACAAGCCTGCTTCCTCCTCCCTATGAGTTCCTCTCACATATTTGTACATGGCCCTCATCATGTCTCCTCTCTGCCTTCTCTTCTGAAGGCTAAACATGCCCAGCTCTTTAAGCCGCTCCTCATACTGTTTGTTCTCCAGACCCTTGACCATTTTAGTCGCTCTCCTCTGGACACATTTCAACTTGTCAACATTTCCCTTCAATTGTGGTGGCCAGAACTGGACACAGTGTGATTCCAGGTGTGGTCTGACCAAGGCAGAATAGAGCGGTGGCATGACTTCTCTGCATCTAGACACTAGACTCCTATTTATGCAGGCCAAAATCCCAGATTAACTGCTTTGAACTGGGTGATATGAGTCTGCACGGTGTTTTAAACCGGCAAACTGTTTGTAATTGATTATTTTAAAGTGATTGTTTTATAACTGCGTTATTGTATTGAATTGTATTGTGATTTTTAATGTATTGTATCGGTACCATGGGTTGCCTGTTGTAAGACGTCCTGAGAAGGTGAGAAGGACGGGGTATAAATGCCTGAAATCTATATAAATAAAAATGTAATGTTAGTTTGTGGGATTAATATAACTAAAAAACCACTGGATGAATTGACATCAAATTTGTACACAATACACTTATCAGGCCAACAAATGACCATTACTCATAAAAACACTGAAAAACACAGTGGAAGAGACTTAAAAAGCCAAAAAATAAAAAAAAATACATTACATGTTTATATATGTGCAAAACCACATATACACAAATATATATATACACACATTTATACACGCACAAAACACATGTCCACAGACTAGGCCACAGCAACGCGTGGCAGGGACGGCTAGTAAATTAAGAAATAAATACACACTGCCATATTATCCAGTTCAAAGCAGATTATCTGGATTCAGAAACTGGATTTATATGGCAATGTACTCTGCCTATGTTACTACAGATTGTGAACATATTATTCGAAATGTTTGGGGCTAGAAGTATTTTGGATTTTTTTGGCTTTTGGAATTTCCATGTAGTATATAATCTATATAATCCTGAGGAATCTGTACAAGGACCAAGTAGCAACAGTCAGAACTGACCACGGAACAACAGACTGGTTCAAGATTGGGAAAGGCGTACGGCAAGGCTGCATCCTCTCACCTAACCTTTTTAACTTGTATGTAGAACACATCATGCGATGTGCGGGGCATGATGAATGCAAGGCTGGGGTGAAAATTGCTGGAAGAAACATTAACAACCTTAGATATGCAGATGACACCACTCTGATGGCCGAAAGCGAGGAGGAGCTGAGGAGCCTTCTAATCAAGGTGAAAGAAGAAAGCGCAAAAGCTGGGTTGCAGCTAAACATTAAAAAAACCAAGATTATGGCAACAAGAATGATTGACAACTGGAAATAGAGGGAGAAAACGTGGAGGCCGTGACAGACTTTGTATTTCTAGGTGCAAAGATTACTGCAGATGCAGACTGTAGCCAGGCAATCAGAAGACGCTTACTTCTTGGGAGGAGAGCAATGTCCAGTCTCGATAAAATAGTAAAGAGTAGAGACATCAGACTGGCAACAAAGATCCGCCTAGTCAAAGCCATTGTATTCCCTGTAGTAACCTATGGATGTGAGAGCTGGACCTTAGGGAAGGCTGAGCGAATTCCACAAGCGGGGGGTCACCACTGAGAAGGCCCTGTCCCTTGTCCCCACCAGACATGTTTCCGAGTCCAGTGGGACTGAGAGCAGGGCCTCCCCAGCAAAATGTATGTACCTAGAATCACTGGAAAAGCAAAGTTGTTCGAATCTAGGGAGAGCGCAGATGAGCCACCTCTGTCAGCTCCATCTCCCCATGCAGGGACATTATAGAAGCAACCCACAAGGATGGTAAAACAATTTCTCAAGTTGCTCCTGACACGAAAAAAAAACTTTTGGTAGGAACAATTTTGGATTTTGGATTTTTTCAGATTTCACAAATAACGCTTAACCTGTATTTGTGTTGTTTATTTGGGAGAGCCATTTGTAGATGAAACAATGGCTGAAGAGAAAGTGAATTTCTAAACAGAACAATAACACTATGTAACAATTTTTATATATATATATGTATGCATGTATGTATGTATGTATGTTCCTGGTTTAAAAGTGTTATTTCCCATTTAATTGTGCTGTACTAGCTTTGAAAGTAGTTGTCATACTCCAGAAACTTCATTTTTGTGGCTGCCATAAATTATATTGAATTGGTTGAGGCTCATAAACTCTGTTGAATTGATTGAGATATTCATTGACAAACTACAACAAAATGTGTTGCAGGATGTCCCTCCTGCAAAAACAAAGTTTTTGCAGTTTTAATAAACTAATAACTTCTTTTCAGGATGAAAAGGAAACACTGGTGAGTCCTCCTAACCTTTGGGTGTATTGCTCAACCAGTTCCCAATCTGCCAAACAACAGCCTTGTCCAGCCCTCCTTTTATTAGCTTGTTTGCAGGGATATCACAGGGACCTTGTCGAAGGCCTTGCTGAAATCAAGATATGCTACATCCATGGCATTCCTTTCATCTACCAAGCTTTTAACCCTTATCAAAAAGAGAGATAAGATTAGTCTGGTATGACTTGTTTTTAAGGAACTCATGTTGACTCTCAAGTGTTCACGGCATTCCTTCCTAAGCGCTCACAGACTGGTTAATGATCTGCTCCAGGATCTTTCCTGGTACTGATGTCAGGAATTGCTGGGTGGCAATGGTTTGGATCCTCTTCACCTTTTGAGTTTTCAGTCTGTTGAGGCCCCTTCCACACAGCTGAATAAAATCCCTTAAACACAATCGGCGCTGACAAAATTACCACCTGTCAGCTGCAAAAGACCACCCTACTCAGATCTCCGCACATTATTTGCCGATACATCACACAGTCCTAGAGACTTGGGAAGAGTCAGACATGTGATCCAATATAACAGCCAGCAGAGTAATCTTGTTTGCTGTGTAGTAATCTTGTTGTGTTTCAAATAATAATAAAATAGAAGCAACATAGGGAGATGGTTTATATCAGGAGTAGATCCATTTGTCTGTGTAGTTCAGTATTGTCAATTCTGGTCGTAGCTCTTCAAACATTTAGGCATGAGCATTTCCGAGTCCCATAAAGAAATCCCTAATGTTCCCTGGTAGTCTCCCATGCAAGTGTTAACCTGATCTGACCCTGCTTCACTTTCAAATCCAGATGAGATGGGTTGAGTGTTATTGTGGTCTTTGATGCAGATGTTTCTTTGTATTCTCTAGGAGTGCTCCTCATCCTGACAGATAGCAGAATTTCATCTTGGGCTTGGGCACCAAGGTAAGCAGTTTTCTGTGTAATGCAGTTCTGTTGTTTTAATATCTTTGTAGGTCAGCGAGCTCAAAAAACCTGAGAGTGGGAAGATTTTCTACAGCTAGGTTTACATTAACAAGTTAATTCAGTTTCAGATTTGCTGAAAAAAGCTATTTGGAGGTCTCCCTAAAATGTGTGTTGCAACACATGAGTATGTCGGCTTCAGTGCATAAGTGTGCCACATGAATGTAACAAGAAATGACAAAAATCTTGAACATGTATGTACAGTAGAGTCTCACTTATCCAGTATAAACGGGCCGGTAAAACATTAAATAAGCAAAAATGTTGGATAATAAGGAAGAAAAGCGTATTAAATGTCAAATTACATTATGATTTTACAAATTAAGCACCAAAACATTATGTTTTACAACAAATCGACAGAAAATTTGCAAAACATGGTAATGATACGTAGTAATTATTGTATTTACAAATTTGGCACCAAAACATGACAATGTTTTGAAACAGCTGTGGATCCGGGCTGGAGGCAGATTGCGTTGGATAAGTGAGACTCTACTGTATCTTACAAATCATATATTTTAAAAAATATATAAATGAAAAGTTTTCATGAGATATGTTGTGTTCCTTTAGTCTTTGTTATTAGAATTTATGTTTGTGTCTGTGGCCCCTTCTACACTTCCATATAATCCAGGTTAAAGAATCAGATAATGAGTTTGCATTGTCATATAATCCAGTTCAAAGCAGATAATCTGGATTTTATATGGCAGTGTAGAGGGGCCTGCGTCTCTTAACAAGGTTTGCTAGTAAAACTGAATTACTTTGTCACGAATTGATGCATGTCTAAAAAGTCTGTCACCAACAACATGAAACATTTGGAAAGCTCTAACCTAGAATATGGCTTTGTTGTTCAATTTCCCACACAATACACATTTATAGTGGTGTGGAGGGATGTAAGTTTATTTACTAATGTGGATGTTTTGTTTAGATTTATGTTATTATAGAATTTGGTCCGATTATGTGTAGTTTAACTTATTGATGTCAGGTTTAATTTACTGATGTTGGGTCTTTAATGTTACTTTTATATTGGGGGTTTTCTGGGATTTTATGTTAATATCATAAATATTTGAATATTTGCCATTGTTATGTTGGAATCTGCCCTGAGTCCCTTTGGGGAGATAGGCTGGATTACAAATAGTTTTTTTATTTATTATTGTTTACTGAAACCCTTGTAAAAGTATTTTTAGGTTTGTTGTTTAATCAGAAATTAAAATACCCGCACAGATGTTTCATTGTAATTGTGAATGTGTGTTGGATAAAAACCACAAATGTTAGCTATAGCCGGAACATGGTTTTTAAATGCCATTTGCAGCATTTTCACTAAGTGCACATGCTCCTATCATGTCCACAGGCACATATGCACTAAGGTGCCAAATAAATAAATGGAGTCTATAGTCTGTTAGGCCCCTTCTACAGTGCCATATAATCCATATTAACAGAGCAGATAACCCAGTGGCGCAATGGGTTAAATCCTTATGCCGACAGGACCGAAGACTGACAGGTCTCAGGAAAATGAGTAAGCATGTGGTGGTGACTTTCCCAGTTCTTCTGGGATTGCAGTTTGAGTTTGCTTTCAGAATGAAAGGTGTTGCCTCTTTCTTAAAGATGCAGGTGGCCTTTGAGGAGGTGGCTCTGCATTTCACTGAGCAGGAATGGGCCTTGCTGGATGCAAACAAAAGAGCGCTCTACTGGGATGTCCTGCAGGAGAACTACCAGCACGTGATTTCATTGGGTAAGCATCCTTCCTTCTTTCCTGGAGTCTTTTCTCAGAGGGACACAAAACCTGGACTTCCCAAAGGCACTAGGTTCCTCTTTAGAAAGGCAATGTGACTCAAAGGTTTTTGATGGAAGGAGATAAGAGAGGTTTTGCTATCGCTGTTCCAGTTTTTCTATTTGCAGCCAACCTGGTGTGTCACACAAATGACATGGTGGCATCCAAACATCCCGCTGGAACAGGGGCAAATTTGGCACTGGCATCTTTCAAAAATGAAACCTGTTTTGCTACTTGTGTTAACTGTATATAACCCATTCTGTTTAACCCATTATGGGTGATGCAGTGGGTTAAACTCTTGTGCTGTTGAACTGCTGACCTGAAGGTTGGCAGTTCGAAGCCACAAGTCAGGGTGAGCTCGCGCTGTTAGCCCTAGCTCCTGCCAACCTAGCAGTTTGAAAACATGCAAATGTGAGTAGATCAAAAGGTACTGCTTCTGTGGGAAGGTAATAAGCGTGCCCATGCAGCCATGCTGGCAACATGATCAGGAGGTGTCTATGGACAACAGGCTCCTTGGCTTAGAAATGGAAAAAGAGCACCTCCCCATGGCTGCCTCCAGAAGCCAGAGATGAAAGGAGAAGACTTTACCTTTGTTCTGTGTATTTGTGTGTCTTTCTTATTCCACTGTATTAAAGGCATTGGATGTTTGCCTACCTGTGTATGCTGTAATCTGCTCTGAGTTCCCTCGGGGAGTTAGAGCATAATATCAATAAAGTGTTATTCTTATTATTTCTCAGTCTTAGTCACACTTGGATTTAACAGGATCCTAAAATATAAGCTATGGCTAACTATTGTATCTACAGTATTGTATCTACTGTCTGTTTTCAGTTGGGATATTAGTGTTATCCTGGGATTTTAGAAGCTTTCTCCAATATATATAGTTGAAAGCAATGTGCTAGTATTGAAGTTGAGGTTGTATGGCATGTTTTTCGTAGAAGAAAGACTATGGAATGTCAAATTATCCCATGACTAATGCCAGTTCTTTCATTTTCAGAAATCCTTCTTAGTTTGACAGACAAAGACAGTTCATCCCAGCTTCCATTGATGATGTCCTATTTCTCTAACAGCATGGAGTTTCCCCAGGTAGGCATTATTAAAACGAAAAACTTTGTTTGTAAACCGCCCTATCTCCCCAAAGGGACTGAGGATGGTTTCCAACATGTAAGGCAAAACATTCAATTGCCAGAAAGAAAACCATACAGACAATACATCAAAATAAACACCTTCAATAATACATTAAACCTAAAAAAAAAACTTTTTAAAAACTTAAACAACCAAAATATCATAATAGAATACCAAAAAAACTGTTAAAACACACTCAAAGTAAAAATAAATAAATAGTAAAACAACCTAGGAATTATGTATAAAGCTGCAAATAAAAGATGCTGGAAATGTAAAATGCAAGAAGGGTCATACTACCATATGTGGTCTCATGGAAAAGTAAACAATTATTGGAAAATGATGCACAAAGAGCAGAATTGACAATGAAACCTGAATACTACTTACTGGGGATGTTTGACTCTGAACTATTTGCGGACAGTAATAAAGACAAGATTTTCACTTATTTTATAACCACAGCAAGAATAGTTTATGCAAAAGCTTGGAAACTGGACACTATACCGGATAAGGAACTTTGGATGGACAAGATAATAGAGATAAAAGACATGGATAGACTTACATGTTTGTTAAAGAAAAACACCAGAAGGAGTATGAAAACGACGGACTGGTCAACTTTTGAAGAATATTTGAAGACATTAACATAGAAAATGCAACATTAACATAGAAAAAGTAAAGGGAAAATTTGGACTAGATGAAAGGAGGGAAAGAAAAGGATAGCCAGAATCAGAAAACTAACAGATTTGAATGTAAGGAAAAAGAATGGAAGTTAAGAATACAGCCTCTCCCCTTTTCCTCCCCCTCCCCCATCCCCTATTCCTTTGGCTTTTTCTTTTCTTTTCTCTCTCTTCCTCCCTTCCCTTCCCCTTCACCATTATTTTTATGTGTTTATTTTTTCTTGATATTTTATTGTAACCTTGTTTGAATATTCTCAATTAAAAAAAAATTAAAAAGTAAATATTAAATATTTTAAAAACCATTTCATTGGAGCTCCATCAGTCAACAAAGCAATGGCCAGGATTACAAAGTGATTGTGGCCAACTATAAAAGGGCTGGGCCAGGGATAGTGCTCTGGCGTATCATAGGGCCGGGGAAGTGGATGAAGTGCAGGACCAAGTGCTATCTGGTTACCTAGGAACTGGGCCTAGGGACTAATCATTCTCAAAAATTTTGCTGGAACATCCAGGTTTTCAAGTCCCTACGAAAGGAGGACAGTGTAGGAGATTGCCTAATTTCCCTGGGGAGGGTGTTCCAGAGTCGGGGGACCACCACAGAGAAGGCCCTCTCTGTCGTCCCCACCAGCCATGCTTGTGAGAGGAGAGTCTCCCCAGAAGATCTTAGAGCCAATACTGGTTCCTATGAGGATATAAGATCTGAAGGTAGGCAGAGCTTTATAGGGCTTTATAGGTCAAAACTTGCACGTTGAATTGGGACATTGGCAACCAGTGGAGCTGCTTTAATAGGGGCTACATACAGGTTCTTAGGAATTGTGGGAGTTGGAGTCCAAAACACCTAGAGGGCTGAAATTTGCCCATGTCTGATTTAGAGAGAGTTTGCCTTTCCTTCCTCTGAGGCTGAGAGTATGACTTGCCGAAGGTCACCAAATGGGTGAGCAGAGATTTGAACTCTGGTCTCCAAAATCCAGAACGCAGACCACTCCATCACACTGTCTCATACATTTATGATTTTTTAAAGCTTGTAAGTCTTCCTCGAGACAATCTGGCATTTGTCATTGACAACAGTAACTTCTATTGCCTCTGCATTTTTTATAATATGTTAAATCCCAGGGATGGAGCTGAATAGTGAAGAAAGCCAGAAGGCTTGCTAATGAAAGGATCATGGTTGGTATTGTGGCATAGATTGCGGTTTGGCACATTTTAAGAGTTACAGGTGTTTTTTTCCCTAATGTAGGTAGCATTTGAGGAGGTGGCTCTGCATTTCACACGGCAGGAGTGGGCTTTGATGGATGCGAATGAAAGAGCCCTCTACTGGGATGTCATGCAGGAGAACTACCAGCATGTGACTTCGTTGGGTAAGCTTTCCGCTCACATTTTTCCTAATAGGACTCAAAAGTTTATGGAATGCCCTCCCCAGTTAAATTAGATCACTCCCCTCCCTCCTGGCCTTCAGGGGTAAAAACTAAAAACATGGCTCTGGGATCAGGCTTTTGTTCAGTAATGGGAGCAGTAATAATAGATCTTAACTGAACATTGATGACTTGGACTGGACCTGGATTATGACCTGGATCATGTGATTTTAACTGTTGTTTTAATGCTATGTTTTTAATTGGCTGGTTTTAATGCTGTTTATTTATCGATGATATGTATACACGTGGCATCAAATTGTTGCCTTTGTAAGGCCGCCATGAGTCCTCTTCGGATTGGAGAAGTGGTAATAAATTGTATTGGAGAAGCATGGTAAATAATCTATATAAATAAAAACGTAATGTTCATTTGTGGGATTAACATAACCCAAAAACCACTGGGGGAATTGACACCAAATTTGGACACAAGACACCTAACAACCCAATGTATGTCATTCACTAAAAAAAATGATTTTGTCATTTGGGAGTTGTAGTTGCTGGGATTTATAGTTCACCTACAATCAAAGAGCATTCTGAACTCCACCAATGGTGGAATTGAACCAATCTTGGCACACAGAACTCTAATGACAAACAGAGAATACTAGAAGAGTTTAGTGGACATTGACCTTGAGTTTTGGAGTTGTAGTTTACCTACATCCAGAGAGCACTGTGGAATCAAACTCAAACCCCACCAATGATAAAACTGGGCCAAACTTCCCACACAGAACCCCCATGACCACCAGAGTGGGCCACAGCAACGCGTGGCAGGGGACGGCTAGTAAATAAATAAATAATGTTGGGCTGCTCAGAGGCAGTTAGGCTCTTTTCAAAACAGGGGTGGAAATCAGTGTGGTATTCTTGGATAAAGTCCAGAAATACTGGACTTTGTTAAGCTTAAATTCTCAACTATTTGGCTCATATGTTGGGAGGAAGCTTCTACAATCCCAGAATAATACTAATAGCCCCAATGAAAGCAGACAGTAGATAAAGTACTGTAGATACAGTAGTTAGCCACAGTTTATATTTTAGTAAAGATAAAGGTTTCCCCTGACATTAAGTCTAGTCATGTCTGACTCTGGTGGGTGGTGCTCTTCTCCATTTCTAAGCCAAAGAGTCAGCGTTGTCTGTAGACGCCTCCAAGTTTGTGTGGCCAGCATGACTGCATGGAGTGCCGTTACCTTCCTGCCGGAATGGTACTTATTAATCTATTCACATTTGCATGTTTTTGAACTGCTAGGTTGGCAGAAGTTGGGTTTTACAGCGGGAGCTAACCGCACTCTCCAGATTTGAACCGCCAACCATTCGGGCAGCAAGTTCAGCAGCTCAGCAGTTTAACCCGCAGCGCCACCGGGGACTCCATTTGATACATAAAATTCATTGTATGTGCATTGCAGAAATAAACTGTTTGTCTTCTTCATTCTGAACAGGACTGCCAATGGTGCAGTCCAGCATCCCTTCACATCACAGAGAAGCAAAAGATCTATGGAGATGGCGTTTCCAGAGAAAACCATCCTTGACAAAATTTATTCAAGGTGAGACAGAGGCTAAAAGAATCTGTAATGACGGAGTCGAGTATCTTTTTAATAGTATTTTCTCTACCCTTTCTTTGAAAGTAGCCAGTCTAGAGCAAAAGCTTTTGGTGAAAACCACCCTTTGGCAGAGAAATCTAAAAGACCTGTAAAACTACAACTTGCCAGATGTACTAAAAATTAACTAGGTGTTTTTAATTACAAAAATGTGAATCAAGCACTAAAAGGGCTAAATGGATGCAGTGTCAGTGTTAGTTGTTATTGTTATTGTTTATTGTTTGCTTTTGTGTATGAGATTTATTTTAACTGTTGTATTGTTTGTTTTTTATTGCTTTTACTGTTGATGTACTTTGGGCTCGGCCTCATGTAAGCTGCACCGAGTCCCTTGGAGAGATTAGCAGGGTATAAATAAAGATTATTATTATTATTATTATTATTATTATTATTAGGTTCTTGTGGGTTTTTTCGGGCTTTAGGGCCATGTTCTAGAGGCATTTCTCCTGACGTTTCGCCTGCATTTATGGCAAGCATCCTCAGAGGTAGTGAGGTCTGTTGGAAATGGGACAATGGGTTTATATATCTGTGGAATGGCTGGGGTGAGGCAAAGAGCTCTTCTCTGCTATTATTATTATTATTATTATTATTATTATTATTGTTATTATTATTTGTCGTGTCAGGAATGTCCTGTTGTGAGAGAATTGGTCGTCTGCAAGGACGTTGCCCAGGGGACGCCTGGATGATTTTGATGTTTTATCATCTTTGTGGGAGGCTTCTTTCATGTCCCCGCATGAGGAGCTGGAGCTGATGGAGGGAGCTCATCTGCCTCTCCCCGGATTCAAACCTGCGACCTGTCGGTCTTCAGTCCTGCTGGCACAGGGCTTTAACCCACTGCGCCATCGGGGGCTCCAATTATTATTATTATTATTATTATTATTATTATTATTATTATTATTATTATTGTCAGCCCCAGTGGGAGAAAGGCCTCAATGAGGGAGGCCTCATGGTGTGGTAGGCCTCAGTGATAGTAGGTTTCAGTCTGAGAAGGCCTCAGTGTGGGAGAAAGGCCTCAGTGTGAGGTAGGGCTCAGTATTAGTAGGCCTCAGTATGAGAAGCCCTCATGTGTAAAGCTCCAGTGTGAAGGCTGCTCTGTGTAAAGCTACTGTGTGAAGCTCCTGTGTAATTTTGGTGTGAGAAGAGGCTCTGTGAGAGTGAAGCTATTTATCTGCATATGAAAGAAGCTTAGAGTGGAAGCAAAGAAGGAAGTATAAAGAAATTTATTTGTGTTGTGGAAACCTTGTTGTTGTAAATAGTGCACATATTATTTTCCTACAAAGAAAGGCCTCCTGTAGAAGAGATAACATTGGTGTGTTTTTTTTTTTCTTTTTATCACTTTGGGCTACTGGTGCTGGGTCATGCTGCTGCTAATAAGTTACACTGCTATACATTCATGGGGAGGGTCTTTTGTTAATATGCCCACTCACTCAACTCCGTAGCATTGAGCCATGGCAGCTACAATGATGTCAAACTGCATTACTTTTACAGTCTAGATACAGTCCCATTCTTGTGCTTCTTCCTACCTTTTCATTCCTCCTCTCCCAGTTTTTATTGAAAGTCTGACATTTTTTTCTTTGCAGGGGATGGTTGTCAACAAAGGAGTCTGGAAACCATGGAACTATGTAGACGGTTGCTGGGTCGTTCCCAAGAGAAGGGCTTTCCCAGCCATGATGCCAATAATAATGGGCAAAAGCCGGAAAATTTGCAAGAGAATCGGATACTGGAGAGACCTGGAGAAACAGCTCATTTGAATGGAAGCATCAAGGCTGCAAAGTGTCCTCCCACTGGTGTGGGAGAAAGGAAGGATTCTTGTCCGAAGTGTGGGAAAACCTTCTGCCACAAATCCGCACTCACCGCCCACCTGAGAATCCACACGGGGGAGAAGCCGTATCAGTGCCTGGAATGCGGGAAAAGCTTCAACCAGAGCTCGGCCCTCACCCAACACCAGAGAATCCACACCGGCGAAAAACCCTACGTTTGTCCCAGTTGTGACAAGAGGTTCAGCCAAAGCTCCGCCCTGACTCAGCACCAGAGGATCCATACCGGTGAGAGGTTTTACGCTTGCCTCGACTGCTCAAAAACCTTCGTTTACCAGTCAGCTCTGATTCGGCATCGGAGGATCCACACGGGGGAAAAGTGCTACAAGTGCCCTGAATGTGGAAAAGGCTTCAACCAAAGCTCCAATCTTATTACACACCGGAAAATTCATAATGGTAAGGAGGTGCAATTACAGTGTTCCCTCGCTACTTCGCGGTTCGTTTTACGCGGACTCTCTGTTTTGCGGGTTTTTGAAAATCTATATAAATAAAAATGTTATGTTCGTTTGTGGGATGAACAGAACTCAAAAACCACTGGACGAATTGACACCAAATTTGGACACAAGACACCTAATAGCCCAATGTATGTCCTTCACTCAAAAAATTGATTTTGTCATTTGGGAGTTGTAGTTGCTGGGATTTATAGTTCACCTACAATCAAAGAGCATTCTGGACCTCACCAATGATGGAATTGAACCAAACTTGGCACACAGTTCTCCCATGACCAACAGAAAATACTGGAAGGGTTTGGTGGGCAGTGGCCTTTGGTTTTGGAGTTGTAGTTCACCTACATCTAGAGATCATTGTGGACTCAAAACAATGATGGATCTGGACCAAACACTACACGAATTATTCAATATGTCCATATGTAAACATTGGTGGAGTTTGGGGAAAATATAATATTGACTTTTGGGAGTTGTAGTTGCTGAGATTTATAGTTAACCTACAATCACAGAGCATTCTGAACCCCATCAACAATAGAATTGGGCCAAACCTCCCACACAGAACCCCCATTTGGGCCACGCGTGGCAGGGGCCGGCTAGTATTAATATAAAATATAAAATATTTATGCCCAATGGAGTCCAGGGACCCTGGAACTGTGGCAGCTTGAGGCACAGCGGGGAAGGCCTGCCTCCCTGGCCTGCTGTTGCCTCCGTAGCTCTGGAGGCTCTGCCAGGGTCTACGGAGGCCAGGAAGGCAAACAGGTGCCCTCGGGATGGGCCGGAAGGCGGGTAAGGAAGCTCGGGTAAGAAAATAATATATAAAATAAATAAAATAATGCATCACACTGTGTCCAGTTCTGGCCACTGCAATCTAAAGGAGATGTTGGCAAGCTGGAATGTGTCCAGAAGAGAGCGACTAAAATGACCAAGGGTCTGAAGAACAAGCCCTATGAGGAGCGGCTTAAAGAGCTGGGCATGTTTTGCCTGGCGAAGAGAAAGTTGAGAGGAGACATGATGAGGGCCACATATCAATATGCGAGGGGAAGTCATAGGGAAGAGGGAGCAAGCTTGTTTTCTGCTGCCCTGGAGACACTGGCTTCAAACTACAGGAAAGGCGATTCCACCTGAACATGAGGAAGAACTTCCTAATTGTGAGAGCTGTTCAGCAGTGGAACTCTCTGCCCCGGAGTGTAGTGGAGGCTCCTTCTTTGGAGGCTCTTAAGCAGAGGCTGGATAGCCATCTGTCAGGAGTGCTTTGAATGTGATTTTCCTGCTTCTTGGCAGGGGGTTGGACTGGATGGCCTACGAGGTCTCTTCCAAATCTATGATTTTATATCTGCTATTGGAGATGGCGATAGGGCATTCAGACAACTCGGCCAGTCCAGCAAAGTTGATGGTGGAGTTGTGGCCTTCATTTGGCTCACAGATTTATTTATTTACAGTATTTATATTCCACCCTTCTCACCCCACAGGGTGGATTACAATGTACATATACATGCTAAATATTCACTGCCATAGGCACACACCATATATAGACAGACACACAGAGGCTATTTAACATTCCATCTTTTTCATGAGGGTATTCTGGCCACCAGGGGAGCTGCCGCTTCACCGTCCATTTGTGACACTGATGAAATACTTCCTCATTCTTTGCATGCTTGCTAGAGATTTTTATGGTGTCGTAAATTAGCCTCCCCGCATAAGCGGTACCTAAATTTCCTACTTGACAGATGCAACTGTCTTTTGGGCTGAAAAGGTTGATAGCAAGCTACACAAATTGGTCAGAAGCTCACTCTGACCCGGGATGGCTTCGAACTCATGACTCCCAGCCAGCTGCGCCATAGTCCTGTTGCCAGATCTGAAAGGATCTGCCATTTTTGGCTACATGATATATTCTTTCCTTTTCTCTCATCTTGCAGGAAATGGGACAGTGTGTAGGAATGAGAAGAAGAATCCTCAGTCGGAAAGTCGCACACAGTTAGAAGCCCACGCAGGAGTCCGTAAGCTGTCCCAACCAGTTTCCTCTCCTCGGACTCCTCAACTGGAGAAAGATCTTCTCAGTCGGACATCTGTGGAGAAAGATTCTTCAGTTCTTCCCACTCGAAATGGAGTTCCGGAGGGTTTCATCCCTCAGAAGATCAGAATAAAGACCCCTCGGGTTAAGAGATCCCTTGTGTGCCTGGAGTGCGGAAAGAGCTTCAAGTACAGCTCCCATCTGGTTAACCACGAGAGGATCCACACGGGAGAGAAGCCCTACAACTGCACCGATTGCGGGAAGAACTTCATCCAGAGCTCGGCCCTCAAGAGGCACCAGAGGAGCCACCGTGGAGACCGTCCTTATCAGTGTGCCGACTGCGGGAAGAGCTTCAGCCGGAACTCGCACCTAGCGAAGCACCGAGGGATTCACACCGGAGAGAAGCCTTTTGAGTGCCTCGACTGTGGGAAGAAGTTCAGTGTCAAAATGAACCTGGCGATTCACCGGCGAATCCATACCGGGGAGAAGCCTTATACATGCCCGGAGTGTGGAAAGAGCTTCAGCCAGCGGCCCCATTTCATCATCCATCGGAGAATCCACACCGGAGAGAAACCTTATTCGTGCCCCGACTGCGGGAGGAGCTTTCGGGTGAGCTCCCACCTTGTTACGCACCAGAAGGTCCACATGGGGAAGACGTCCTTCATATGTCCCGAATGTGGGAAAAGCTGTAATGGTAGCAAAGAGTTTATTCGACACAAGATGCTCCACATCCATGGAGGAAGCCATCAAGGGCCCAATCTGAGGGTCAGCATTAAAACTGAATTTTGTGCTCCTGAGTCTCTTAGTCCACAAGGCAGTAGCTATTGGACTTGAAATAGGTTGGCAAATGACTGGCTAGGTTGGGCAAAGAATGGGGAGGTGTTATGGGCTCCCTCTTAGGATTGCAAATGGTAAAATCCTTTGTGTGCTTTAGAAGGTATGTTTATTGTTATGTTCAATATGTTTTAACTGTTTTATAAGTTTATATGGTATGTTTATTGTTATGTTATGATGCGGCATTGGATTTTTGCTGTAGTTTGTAAGCTGCCCAGAGTCCCCTTTGGGGTGAGAAGGGCGGGGTATAAATAGAGTAGAGAGAGAGAGAAGGGGAACCTGTCAATCAAATTGTAAATCATATATCTAGGATGCGCAATTATAATAAATAATAAACTTTATTTATACCCCCCCCCCCAAATAAAATCTCCCCAAAGGGGACTCAGGGCAGCTAACATGAGGCTGAGCCCAAAAACACAATACAACAAATGCAAACAACAAAAATTACATCGAGATAAAATATGTACAGTAGTAAAATAAGATAAATAAAACAAGTTAACACAATATAAAATCGAACAAAATGGGCAGGCCGAATGGATGAGGTAAAATGATAAAACCCTGGATGAGGTAGGAAAGAAAATACGTAATTGAGGGGAACCCAAAAGAATAAACAGTGGAATAGGCTTTCAGTTTAGGACGGGGGAAAGTGCATCATAGGGGCAACACTATAGATGGAGCAAACAGAAAGGAGATTCCACCTGAACATGAGGAAGAACTTCTTGACTGTGAGAGCTGTTCAGCAGTGGAACTCTCTGCCCCAGAGTGTGGTGGAGGCTCCTTTTTTGGAGGCATTTAAGCAGAGGCCGGATGGCCATGTGTTAGGGGTGCTTTGAATAGATTTTCCTGCTTCTCGGCAGGGGGGTTGGACTGGATGGCCCACGATGTCTCACAGTCAGGATGTTCAGGTGGAATCTCCTTTCCTGTAGTTTGAAGCCATTGCTCCGCAGCCTAGTCTGCAAAACAAGCGTTGCTCCCTCCTCCCTATGACTTCCCCTCACATATTTATACATGGCTATCATGTCTCTTCTCAGCCTTCTCTTCTTCAGGCTAAACATGCCCAGCTCTTTAAGCCACTCCTCATTGGGCTTGTTCGCTAGATCCTTGATCATTTTAGTTGCCCTCCTCTGGACACATTCCAGCTTGTCAATATCTCCCTTTAATTGCAGTGCCCAGAATTGGACACTGTGGGATTCCAGTTGTGGTCTAACCAAGGCAGAATAGAGGGATAGCATGACTTCCCTGGATCTTGACACTATTCCTCTATTGATGTAGCCAGGCGTCACCCATCCTAATTGTGCATTTCAATTTTATTGTCACAGTGTAGTACCGTACATTTCTCCTTGTTGAAATTCATTCTGTTACTTTTGGCTCAGCTCTCTAATCTAGGATTATGATCCTGTCCTTGGGGGTATTTGCTATCCCTCTCATTGGTGTCGTCTGCAAATGTTACGTGTATACCTTCTACTTCCATCGTCCAGTATGTTGAATAGCACAGGGCCCAGCAACACTCGATTGGTCACTTCTCTCCAAGATGAAAAAGGAGGAGCCAGTGGTGAACCCAGGCCTGGGCAAACTTGGGCCCTCAGGTGTTTTGGACTTCAACTCCCACAATTCCTAACAGCTGATAGGCTGTTAGGAATTGTGGGAGTTGAAGTCCAAAACACCTGGAGGGCCCAAGTTTGCCCAGGCCTGGGTTCACCACTTGCAAATTCACCTAACCATAGTGGTGTTTAGCCTGCATTTTACTATCTTGTATATGAGATTCTCGTGGGTGAGCTTGTCAAAGGCCTTGCTGAAATCCAAGTATTCCTTTCATCTTCCAAAGCAGTAAACATTTCAGACAAAGAAAGAGATGAGATTAGTTTTGCAGGACTTTTTTTAAGAAACCCATGTTGACTGAATGACACATCATTCCTTTATTTACTCTCTTCAGTGATAATTTGCCGTTCATGTATTTATTTGTTTTTAATGATAATTTCTTGTCTAAACTGCTTTGAGTGTCTCCACTGGAGTGGAAGAGTGTTTCATATATTTTATCTTGAAATAAAATCTATCTTTAACATTATTTAATTACTTGAAATGTGTTTGGATTTATATTTGGTACATGTACTGAATCCTTTCCCTTTTAGGAAGTGAGAATTTAACTACTTTTGTTAAGTAAAGGTAGACGTTTCCCCCAATATTATGTCTAGTCGTGTCTGACTCTGGGTGGCGGTGCTTATCTCCATTTCTAGGCTGAAGAGCCGGCATTGTCCGTATACACCTCCAAGGTCATGTGGCCAACATGACGGCATGGAGCGCCGTTACCTTCCAGCAGAAGCAGTACCTATTGATCTACTCACATTTGCATGTTTTCGAACTGCTAGGATGGCAGAAGCTGAGCCTAACAGTGGGAGCTCACCCTGCTCCCCAGATTTTGAACCACCAACCTTTCGGCCAGCAAGTTCATCAGCTCAGTGGTTCAACCTGCTGTGCCACCAATTTAATTTTCAATTAATGAAAATTAAATTTTATTAATTTATTGAATTTATATCTCACCTTCCTCCCAAGATACTATACTTGAATACTGACATTATTAAAAAGATTTCCTAAAATCCCATTCATACGCACGTATTTCAAAATGTTAACATCAGTGTCGGATGCACACAACCTAACAGTATACAGTACCTGCAATATTTTCATTATTATTGGTGATTTTTATTCAGAAGTACAGCGGGGAAAATTAAAAAAAACAGAAAACATTCATATATATTACAGTCAGTCCTCTGTGTCAATGTGTTATGCATCCAAAAATTCAATAAAATCACAGCAGAGAAATACAAGTCTTCTGAGGGGAAGGGGATCAAAACAGCAAACTTGTATTGTCAAAGGCTTTCATGGCCGGAATCACTGGGTTGTTGTAGGTTTTTCAGGCTGTATGGCCATGTTCTAGAAGCATTCTCTCCTGACATTTTGCCTGCATCTGTGGCAGGCATCCTCAGAGGTTATGTGGTTTGTTGGAAAATTGGGTTTATATATCTGTGGAAGGTCCAGGGTGGGGAAAAGCAAACTTGATTTTGTTACTCACGAAGTATCACTGTGCTGGTGTGTAAACATACCCTGCTACAGCCTCCAGTCATTACACAGATGCTTGAGTTTTTCAATATTTTATATAAGGATTGCCATTTTATTACACCTTTGTACATGAGACTTGAGCATCCACAGATGTTGGTATCCACAAGGGATCCTGGAATGGGCCCACTGTAAAGGTAAAGGTTTCCTCCTTGACATTAAGTCAAGTCGTGTCCAACTTTGGCGGGTGGTGCTCATCTCCATTTCAAAGCTGAAGAGCCAGCGTTGTCCATAGTCGCCTTCAAAGCCATGTGGCCGGCATGATTGCATGGTGCACCATTACCTTCCTGCTGGAGCGGTACCTATTGATCTACTTACATTTGCATATGTTTGAACTGCTAGGTTTTTCAGGAAGAATGTCTAGAACACTAACTAAACTATTCCAAAGCCAGTTTTTTCTTCTGATATAGGGACCAAAAATGGAAGCCCATGTGAACTTCAGGTTACATTCATTTTGGTGAGCTTTCGCAGGGACTTGGATGGGCAGGAGGTCACCATTTGCTGTGCTGCAGAAGGCAACAAAATGTTTTAAGTGTAATAGAAATAAAGTGATTCAAATCAATCATCATCTTTATTTTTATCCTGCTTTATCTACCCAAGGGGATTCATAGCTCAGGGTCTGCAAGACCTGAGCAAAGAAGGTGATGATTAGGGATATGGGAGATTTTTCGGATTTCATAAATCAAAATCGGTTTGATCGCAAATCACTTCTCCAACTACAACTGCAGACATGGAGCCCCTGGTGGCGCAGTGGGTTAAACCCGTGCCGGCAGGACTGAAGACCAACAGGTCACAGGTTTGAATCCGGAGAGAGGCGGATGAGCTTCCTCTATCAGCTCCAGCTCCTCATGCGGGGACATGAGAGAGGCCTCCCACAAGGATGATAAAAACATCAAATCATCCAGGCGTCCCCTGGGCAACGTCCTTGCAGACGGCCAATTCCTTCACAGCAGGGGTAACTCCTGACACGACAAAAAAAACAAAAACAAAAACAAAACAAAAACACTGCAGACATTCCTTAAGCTTGTATTGCCAAAGGCTTTCATGTCCAGAGCCACTGGGTTGTTGTGAGTTTTCCGGGCTGTATGGCCATGTTCCAGAAGCATTCTCTACCGACGTTTCGCCTGCATCTATGGCAGGCATCCTCAGAGGTTGTGAAGTTTGTTATATAGAATAGATCTTCATTTTGATTGTTATGAAAATTATTGATTTATGAGCAAGATCACCAAAGAAAAGGAGAGTAAAAATCCTGCAAGTGTTTTTATTGTTCAAATTTAATTTCTGCAACAATTCCTGCTGCTCACAATTGGAAAAAACAGGCATTCTCTGCTACAGCTGGTAGCCTTCATCCTCTGCGCAGTCCCATGAAGTTTTGCTGCCACAGTGAAGCAACAAATTGTGCCCTGCCAACTCAAAACAAGCCTAGACATTAGGCAACTAGAGGCAGCTGAATTATTTTGGCATGAGATCAAAAAGCTCATAGGCACCTTGTGGTAGTAAAATTACATTAAGAGCAAATTGAATAACAGTGTCATTGCATCCAGAATCTAACACCCAAGGCAGCTACAGCATTCTGTTTAATGGCAGGGCTGCTGACAACGGATTTGCTTATATGGCTTTTAAGGAAATTTCAGAGGAAGACAATAGAAATCTCTTCTAAACAAATTCCACTGAGAAAACCCTGTGATGGGTTCTCATTAGGGTCAGCATAGTTGGAAATATGTTGAAGACATACGATAACATCAAAAGATACATTTAGGAAGGGGAATGATGGCGAGCTTAATCTGGCAGTGTCTGATCCTAAAGCAACTTGTTTTAAGTTCTGCACTATTTCTTGAATGTCTGGTTTGTAAGATATAGAAGCGGGTTACTATAAGCAATTTTTTAAAAAAAGGATCTTTTGTATACTACGTACTGCAGAACAGAAAAAGGATCTTATGCCCTCCCCACCCCCTTCTCAGATTGCAACTCTTAACCAGCTTTAGGCAAAAAACTAAATGGTGACGACTAATGGGTCTTGCAGTCCAAAAAATGCCACAACCCCGGCTTTTGTGGACTGCAGCCCACTTCAATGCAATCCTGTGTGAAAAGTGTATCTATCCCCCTCTCTATTCCAATATTTGTATTCGGTGTGTGTGCACACGTACACACGCGCAAAGGGAAATCTCTAAAACACAATGCAAATAACAGGGTTGTTGTAGGTTTTTCGGGCTATACGGCCATGTTCTAGAAGCATTCTCTCCTGACGTTTCACCTGCATCTATGGCAGGCATCCTAAGAGATTGTGAGTGTTAGAAACTAGGAAAATGAGGTTTATATATCTGTGGAAACTGTCAAGCAATCAAATGCTAATCAAGGTGGCCAACTGAAACATTCACACCTAGCTCCAACAAACAAAGAGTTCCTTCTCCCACCCTAGAGTTTCCACAGATACAAAAAAACCCACTTTCCTAGTTTCCAACAGACCTCACAATCTCTGAGGATACCTGCCATAGATACAGGTGAAATGTGATGAGAGAATGCTTCTAGAACAGTGGTTCTCAACCTGGGGTCCCCAGATGTTTTTGGCCTACAACTCCCAGAAATCCCAGTCAGTTTACCAGCTGTTAGGATTTCTGGGAGTTGAAGGCCAAAAACATCTGGGGACCCCAGGTTGAGAACCACTGCTCTAGAACATGGCCATATAGCCTGAAAAACCTCCAACAACCCAGTTATTCCAGCCATGAAAGCATTCGACAATACTATCAATAACAGCACACAATTCCCCTTAATTGTTTCTAGGCCACTGAGCAAATAAGTTGTGATGGGGCACTATGCCAGATATAGGCACACATCTCCAAATACTCTGTCTGTTCAAGTGCAGAATTGGCTAACTGGGACTCAGATTGACATCTTGAAAAGATGCACTTGTGGAAGGCCAAATTAATTTAACTAAAATCTTAAGGTTATGGAAGGGGCCAGTTCTCTGAAGGCTATGCTGCCCCTTTGTTTAAGAAATTGTACCTAGACAATGAGCTGTTGTTGATGGAGGTGGGGTTTAAATCACTAAACTGAAAACCTCAAGCTTCAAAATCATCATACCCTTCTGACTAACCACTGAATTGTGTCATTTAAGAAGCTAGACAGCATGACTAAAAGAGTTGTCCTGTTCTCAATTCTACTGTGCTTCACTCTAGTCCAGTGGTTCTCAACCCGTGGGTCCCCAGGTGTTTTGGCTTACAACTCCTAAAAATCCCAGCCAGTTTACCAGATGTTAGGATTTCTGGGGGTTGAAGGCCAAAACCTCTGAGGACCCACAGGTTGAGAATCACTGCTCTAGTGGGTCTCAGGTTTTGGCCTTCCAGATGTTTGATCTCACAAATCCCAAGTGGTCAATGATTTTTAGGAAGCTAAGACATCTGGATGGGCAAAGGTTGAGGGCCATTTCTTTACCCCATTTTTGGGATACATTAAATGTGTGAGACCTATGCTGTTGCAGGGCAAGAATGATCTCTGGGCTATGACTTGTCTTGCTGACAATCCTCCATGACCCCCTTCTTTATTATTACATGATTATGGAGAACCTGGATGTTGGAGAATCAACAAGTAAACACAAGGAGATGGATACAAATGTACTTTATTCATATAACTTCATTTGAGAGGGGGAGGGAAAATGATTATGCGTTTCCAGTATAGAATTTGAATTTATCACAGATTCGGGTGCGGGGGGAGGGGAATCAGGATCAGAGCTTGTTAAAATAAAAGATTAGTTTGTTTTGTTAATAGTAATAAAATAATAATAATAATAATAATAATAATAATACTTTATCTAGAGCCTGCCCTATCTCCCCAAGGGGACTCATGATTATGAAGAAAGTCATTTTTTTAATTGTTACTATATGTTAGAAAAATTGGGCTGTTATACAATTATAGATATTCATTTTTCCACCAACAAACCAAATCTGTGCCACATACTCAGCCTTCAGTATAAGCAGTCTGGTACTCACTCACCTGTAGGCAAACTCCATATAACTCAATGGTGCTTATTTCTGAGGAGACAGGTATAAGATTTCATTGGCAAGTGGTAAAATGTTTCCTGGATTACATTATATAAATGTGTTTCCCACCTGAAAACATTCCTGCTCATAGAAAGCATGGGCAAGAGTACTCTTTCATACGATACAGAAACAACACTTTGATGCCACTTTAAGTGTCATGGCAACATTATATAGATTTCTAAAACATGTAATTTGGCAGCTCATTGAACAACAATTTTGACTTCCCTAAACCATAAATGCAGCTAGTCAATTAAAGTGCAATCACAAAACTATAGTTGTATGGTGTGAAAAGAGCTCTGAAGATTTCTTCTTGACACAATATTCTCCAAGCGAAGGAAATTTGCATTTTTTCTATGCCAAGAATTCATGTTGTCATTTCGCAATGCCATAGTGCACTAGCATGGAGCCCCTGGTGGCATAGTGGGTTCAACCCCTGTGCCGGCAGGACTGAAGACTGACAGGTCACAGGTTCCAATCCGGAGAGAGGCAGATGAGCTCCCTCTATCAGCTCCAGCTCCTCATGCGGGGACATGAGAGAAGCCTCCCACAAGGATGGTAATAACATCAAATCATCCGGGCGTCTCCTGGGCAACGTCCTTGCAAACGGCCAATTCTCTCACACCAGAAGCAACTTGCAGTTTCTCAAGTCGCTCCTAACACGACCAAAAATAAAAGTGCACTAGCAGAAAGAAATCTCCAGAGCAAACCTAATACTGCAGTGCTCTCCACCAACCAATCTTTACTATGACTAATTGGAAGACTTTTAAATTTTATGAATACTTTATTGGGCAATTATATCCCCACTCTTCTGCCAAAAACAATATTAGACTCATAGAGTTGGAAGAGACCTCATGGGCCATCCAGTCCAACCTCATTCTGCCAAGAAGCAGGAAAATCGCATTCAAAGCACTACCAACAGATGGCCACCCAGCCTCTGCTTAAAAGCCTCCAAAGAAAGAGCCTCCACCACACTCTGGGGCAGAGAGTTCCTCTGCTTAACGGCTCTCTCAGGAAGTTCTTCCTAATGTTCAGGTTGAATCTCCTTTCCTGTAGTTTGAAGCCATTGTTCCACGTCCTAATCTCCAGGGCAGCAGAAAACAAGCCTGCTCCCACCACCCTATGATTTCCCCTCACATATTTATCTCTTTAGAAGGTTAAACATGCCCAGCTCTTCAAGCTGCTCCTCATAGGGCTTGTGGAAGAGATATAGAAATAATTTTGAAAGGGAATCTGACCTCTCTCCCCCAGCCCCACTTCTGAAGACCTCCTATCCCTGATAGCAGTCACTCTCTAGTCTGATAAAACAATGAAGCGTACAATCATATAGCCGTCTGCTCAGAAGTACCATCGAGCTTGATGTGGTTTATTTTTGAGTAAATGAGTAGAATGTGGCTCACAACCTGAAAGACAAAGCAACTTTGAAAGCATCTTCTCTATCTTCCAGAGGGGAGAAAAAAAAACTTTTGCAGAAACAGATGTAACGATCCATGCACGTGCTGGAACCAAGGAAACGCAGAGGCCCAGTCTGCAATTTTAAATATCCCAAGGCCCTGAAAAAATGTTATATCCATCACTGTCTAAACTAACAAATATGTGAATCAAAGTATGTTAGTATTATACTGAAAATATATCAATTATGCTTTTCTTTAGCTTAAAATCTCAATGGGTAGCTCATTATGAAAGCTTCCAATGAATCATTAGTTAATATAGTATGACCCCACAGGATTGTTGGCCACATTTCACCTACTCGCATGCATCCAAGACAAGACGTCTGCCAGAAGTTACAGCAGAATCATAATGGGAGACCTAGAAAATTCCCAAAATTCCCAGGAATTTACTAGGGCAAGCACACCTCTATAGTAACCACTGGCAGAAGCCATTCATTTCAATAATCTTTGAAATCATCCATGGGTTCCTGTTTCCATATTCAGTTCAGGAACTTATCCCTCTGTGGATACAAGGGTCATACTTTAGAACAGAGCTTTCCAAACTAAGTATCACGACACTTTAGTACAGGGGTTCTCACACTGTGCTCCATGGAGCCCTTGGGGCTCTGTGAGTGATTTTGAAGGGCTCTTTAGGTGATTGTAAGGAGCTCTATTGGTGATACCCTTTCTTCCTCACCTCCCCTGCTGCCCAGATCCTTTTTCTTGCCACCCATACTCACTCTTCCCCCGTGTTCTTTGCTTCTAAAACCCTATTACCCTCCTACCACTGAGAGGGTACTTTGATCGTATTTTTACTGTATGGCAGAGGGGAGTTAGACTGGATGGCCTCTGACGTTTCTGCTATTATTATTGTCGTCGTTATTATTATTATTATTATTATTATTATTATTATTATTATTATTATTATTACAATGGCTGGATGGCCACCTGTTCGGGGTTATTTGATTGTGTTTTTTCTGCATGATAAAAGGGAGTTGGACTGGATGGTCTCTGGGGTTTCTATTGCTATTATATTATTATTATTATTATTATTATTATTATTATTATTATTATTATTATTACTGTGTGAATTAATACTCTCCATCCATCTGCCACTGGCCCGGCCCATGTCTGATATATATATACATTATACATAATATATAAACATTTCTTGGGGCTCCATGATAAACTTTTCCTTCAAAAAAGGCTCCATGGTTAAAAATGTTTGAGAACCCCAGTATGTAGGTGTGCCACTTAAATGCAACAAGGGATGAAAAAAAATCTTGAAAAAAATATGTTAGTATCTTGCAAATCATATATTTTTTAATATATATAAATGAAAGGTTTTAATGAGATACGTTGTGTCTCTTAGATTTGTGTATCTCTTATAAATTACAATTACATACAATTTATGTATCTCTTATAAAGGTTGATTTATCCTCCGGTTTGCCAGTAAAACTGAATTACTGTATTGCAAAATGATGCATGTCTAAAAAGTATCACCAGCATGTAATGTTTGGAAAGCTCTGCTTTAGAATATTTCAACTCATCTAACTGATCCTGTAACTAAATCACTCTACATAGTATACGTTCCTTACTACTCCACGACCATTCCTATTTTGCCTATTCTCTAGGGCAGCGTTTGTACCAACACTTCCACAATATAATACGCTGCTTAGTAACTTTCCTGATGACACAACTCTTCCTGCTTAAAAGACATCTCCTTCTCATGGAGTTTCCGATGCTTGGTAAGATTTGAACTTACGCTAAAACTCTTCCCGCACTCGAGGCATTGATAGGGTTTCTCTCCTGAGTGCACTCTCTCATGAGTGATAAGGTGGGAGTTGTTACGGAAGGTCTTCCCGCATTTCGGACAAGCATAAGGTTTCTCTCCAGTGTGAAGTCTCTGGTGGCCAACAAGGACAGAGCTGTAAGAGAAACTTTTCCCACACTCAGGGCACTTGTATGGCTTCTCCCCAGTGTGAATCCTCTGATGCGTCACGAGGTGAGAGTTCGTATTGAACTTCTTGCCGCAGTCATTGCACTGATAGGGTTTTTCCCCTGTGTGAATCCTCTGGTGAATAATGAGGTCCGCACTCCGACAAAAGTGTTTCCCACATATTAGGCACAAATAGGGTCTCTCGGTCATATGGACCCTCTGATGGCTAAGAAGGCCGGATTTCACGCTAAACGTTTCCGGGCAGTCAGGGCATTTGTATGGCTTCTCCCCTGTGTGAGTTCTCTGGTGCATAATCAGAGTTGAGCGCCTTCCGAAGCTTTTCCAGCAGTCCTGGCATTTAAAGGGCTTCTCCCCTGTGTGAGTTCTCTGGTGCGTAACCAGAGTCGAACTCCGGCTGAAGCTGGTCCCACAGTCAAAGCACTTGTAAGGTCGCTCTCCGGTATGCGTCCTTTGATGCATAATCAGGTTTGAGCTGCGGCTGAAGGTCTTCCCACATTCAGAACAACTGAAAGGGGGCTCCTTAGAGTGGGTTCTCTGGTGCCTAGTGAAGTTTAAGATTTGGTTGAAGCTCCTCCCACAGTCTGAGCAGATGAAGTTCTTCGCTCTGGTGTGGCTCTTCTCGTGCGCAATGAGATGGCTGCTCTGGACAAAGCCTTTCCCACACTGATTGCAGACAAAAGGCCTGTCTCCTGTATGGAGTTTTTGGTGCCGAACAAGATCGGAACGGCGGCAAAATTTCTTATCACAGTAGGGACATATGTGTTGCTTCTTTAGTATATGTTCTACAGGCATCATGGTTCTAGTTAATTCTTCAAAATCACTCAAGTGAAGAGTCTGTCTAGATTTGTCGTCATTTAAGAGCCTTTCTTTATTAAAGCTCTTATTTTGTTCTGGAGCTTCATCAACTGGTACAGAAAGAAATAGAGAGAGAATATGAATGCATATATACCTACATACATGAGTCATTGTTCTGTGAGGGAAATCACAATAATAAGAAGCATCTAAATCAGGCATCCTCAATCTGCGGCCCTCCAGCTGTTTGGGCCTCCAACTCCCAGAATTCCTAGCTACTGAACAGGCTGTGTAGGACTTCTGGGGGTTTGAGGACCAAACAGCGGGAGGGCCACAGTTTGAGGATAACCGATCTAAATTCTAAAAATTGCATGTTCTTCTTGTGTCCTTCCAGTTATAAAAGTCAATCTTTTATAACTGGAAGGACACAAGAAGAACTTTATTTCCTTAATTTTAAAGCTGTGCTTTGATTTGGGGCTCTGGACACAATATATGCCAAAAACTGACTGAGGAAACACACTGACTGATGTGCCAAACTAGGCTTCCAACTTGTCATTTGGGAGTTGTAGTTACTGGGATTTATAGCTAACCTACAATCAAAGAGCATTCTGAACTCCATCAATGATGGAATTGAACCAAATTTGGTACACAGAACTCCCATGACCAACAGAAAATACTGGAAGGGTTTTGTGGGCATTGATCTTTTGTTTTGGACTTGTAGTTCACTTACATCCAGAGAGCATTGTGGACTCAAACAATGATGGATCTGGACAACTTGGCACAAATACTCAATATGCTCAAATGTGAACACTGGTGGAGTTAGGAGAATATAGACCTTGACATTTGGGAGCTGGGATTGATAGTTAACCTACAAGAGCACCCTGAACGCAGCCCACAATCGATCTGCACCAAACTTGGCACACTACCTACATGGCCAACATTGAATACTGGTGGGGTGGGGGGTGTTTTTGAACTCTGGGAGTTGCAGTTCACTAACACCAAAAAGGAAGGGAAGAGCAGGCAGGTGGAGAGATCCTCAGTCTTCTCTGTCAAAGGAGTTCCTAAGACCATTAGAAATATGTGTTTTCTGATTGTCTCTGGTGATCCCCCCCCCCCCAGGGGTCCCGACCCCCAGGTTGAGAAATACTGGGCTAGAGACTCAAGAACTTTTAAAAAGTTGTGTATTATGTTACTTCTTAATAGTAATTAAAAGAGAATGTAATGGTGTTGCTCATACCACTGAAAATCAGTTCTTTGTTGCACTGATCATTACTTTTCTACTGCTCTTGATTGACAGGAAAATAACATAAACATTAATGTCAAGATGACTCTGAAAAGTAACTAGAAACCACAACTCGCCATACTAATAAACTGTGTTTGCGCTTCTTTATTACACTGCTTCACAAATGTAAAGCTGTTGCACTTTTATCACCTCCCAAAATAACTAGTCATGAGTTGTGCCTGCTTACTTCCAGACCTTTGCCTGGCTTGTATTCTTATCAGGGTATATGAAGACTTTAAAACATGGATATCTGTTGGTGTGACAACTTGGAACTTGATTTACTTATTAGTAAATCAGGGAAAAGTATGTAGCTGGACAGCGAGTCCCAATGGCATCAGGAAGAACAGTAAATCTAGCAGCACTTTGCCAGTCAACTGCTCCCCATGGCTGGAGTTAATTTTTTTTTCTCCTGCATCTCTTCCCCAGTCAGATTAACAACCAGCTTTGAAATAAAAATGGGAAATACTGGATGGCAAGATCTCCTACATCGTGTCAGTTCTACAGCTGGCTGTGAACACATCCAAATATTAAAAAGCTCCAGTTATTAGTTGTTATGGTGAGTAGCCACTGTGATTTACAAATGTATCGAATCCGTCTTTTCCAAAACTACTAAAGTATGCAGCCATCATCACATGACATGGTAATGAATTCCACAAGAAGTTGTGAGCTGTAAACTGAGAGAATCAAACAACATACAATCCAAAGATGGGGCAAGTGGCGGAATTAAAACATGGCAGACACAGCCATGGGGTCATGAAGAAGATAGGAAAGGATTAAAAATTCTAAAGGGAGTGGAGATAAGTGAACACAGTCTTCCCCAAAAAGGGTGTCCTCCACTCAAATATACATGCCCAGTATGGTTCAGAGGGAGAAGTGATCCAAGAAAGTCTGTTGTAGAGGCAGCACAACCAATAGTGAAATGTATGGCCAACTGGACGCAAGGGCAGAACGAAAATCAGAAGTACCAGAGACCATCAGCACTTTAATCTACACCAGCTCCAAGTGGCAATGCAGATCTCCAGGAAAGGTGAAATGGGGAGATCTGAAGCACGCAGGAAAAGGTGGGGGTGTTATTAACTTGGCTCAACTTCCTAGAACTGTCCTGGATTTCCCAACGTGTGAGTTGCTGAAACTGTTGGTTCTCCTGTCCCAATTATTTTGGAGAACCAAAAGAAGAAATGGAGCCCTCTATTCTGGAACTGCCTCCTGCAAGTCTAGGTGATGGGGAGGAATGAACATACTACATTTCTGTTAATCAGGGGAAAAAAACATTTACTGATACATTCTAGATCTTTTCTTATGCAAGAGAGAACTCTAAAGGAAGAACATGAAGGCTGCAGTAAAGACAGTCAGCATCACTTTCCCAAGCTTTTTAATGCTTTTCCTCACCTCCAAAGGGATCTGTAAAGGTTCCTTGTTCTTGATGTCCCTGGAATTGCAATCCCCACAATTCTTCATCTTGTTCCAGATCAGGAGTTGTGCTTGGCTGGGTCACTGGAAAACCTATTCAGAGTGAAGTGGGAAACCTGATTAATGTTAGCAGCAGTTATATGATCAATTAGACACTGGAAACATTTCCTTCCCCTTGCAACTTGCACAGTGCCTGGTTATTATGCATATCCAGTGATTGTTTCAGGACAAATGATGAGCCCATGCTGTTGAAGTTGAGCAAGTCATTCTCTGATCAGCAGGAGACCATCATTTAGGAACTCTCTTAAGACTCTGAGAACCTTAGATTCAGAGTTGGTAGAGACTTCAAGGGCCATCCAGCCCAACTCTCTCATAGCAGGAAGATACAATCAAATCATTCACAACAGATGGTCATCCAGACTCCATCATACCCCAAGGCAACATATTCCACTGTCAAAGAAGCTTTAATTGTTAGGAAGTTCTTCCTAAGGCCTAGGCTATTTATTTATTTCATATCAAAAACATTGCATAAATTAGTACAAAACTGATAAAAACAGAAGGAGCACAAGTGGCTAAATATCTTTTGACCGATAACAGGCAGCAGCAACCACATTGTCTGTAGCCTCCAACAATTCCTCCTTGGTACATGAGGCAGGACACTGCGGACAAGCATATGGATGCAGAATTGTCTGTTCTGCTCCACAGTCTCACAAGGTGGGGGATTCTTCTAGGTAGTGCCATTTTGCCAGGTTGTCTTTTGATCTGCCTGTTCCACTTCTGAGTCTGTTCAGGGACTTCCAAGTTGCCCATTCTTGGTTCACCCATGGAGGCAGACCCTCACAGGGGGAGGGGGGATATCCAATTGGGATTTCCTGGTTTAACTGCCCAGAGAGATATTCTTGCTGTTTCTGGGGGAATATTAAGGTTTAGGTGAAATCTCTTTTACTGTACTTTGAATCCACTGCTCTGTCCCCTAATCTGTGGAGGATCTGAAAACGAGCTGGCTCCTTAATATGACATTTAGTCAAATATTTGATGGAACTCCTCCCATCCTTCTCTTCTATATGGTAAACATACACAGCCCATAAGCCACTCCTACCAGCACTTGGTTTCCATGCCTTTTATCATTCTGACTGCCCTACTCTAGATATGTTCCAGCTTGTCAATATCCTTCTTAAATTGAGGTGGCCAGAAATGTACATCATTTTCAAAGAGAGAGAACTGATCAAACAGAATAAAGTGGGACTATGATTTCAGTCAGATATTATACTATTGATGCATTCTAGAATTTCATTGGCTCTTTTTGTTATATTTTGCCATTTTGTATAAGGCTCAATATTTAACTACTCAATTGTATATAATAGGCCTGGAGCATCCACAAATTTTGGTATCCATGAGGTGTCCTAGAACCAAACTCAGAGGATAACATGGGCCCAGAACATTGTTTATCACTGAACACAAAGGTCAGTATTTCCAATTAGCATGTACATATGTAAAAAATGAAGAAAGCTGACAGAAATAACAAAGCAAAGAATTTGAAACATCATATAGATATTATGAAACCCAAAAGACAAATAAATGAGAACAAATTAGGTTGAAATTCTCACTAGAAGTCAAAATGACTAAACCTAGTTTACCTATCATAGGTTAGACACATCATGAGACAACATGAATAACTGAAAAAGATGACAATGGTCAGTAAATTAGGAGGTATTAGTGAAAGAGAAAGACTACATTACAGATAGATTTGATTCAATAAAGGAAGTCAAGGCCCTGTGCTTTTTGAGTAGGACTGCACCTTAGAGTTTCTTCATTCATAGAGCCATCATAAGCTGAAGCTGAATTGATGGCACTAACAACCACAATTGTTTACACTGATTGTCAGAAGCTCTCCAAAATTTTTAGTATGAGTCTTCCCCAGATCTATCTGGAATTGTCAGAAATTGAGCCAGTATGCAGACCATACACTCCACATATTACTGAGCTCAAGGCTTTCCTACAGAGCCGTCAAAGAATGTCCAGCTGTCCCCCCAATTTCAGAGCTCAAGAAAAAAAATCCATGATACTTGGCAGTTGCTGTTATAAAATATATGCCAGCCAGAAATCTTTGCTAATGTACACAAATCACTCAGAACACTATCCATAGGATATATCCTTGGAACACAGATAAAATTTCTACAGTTTTCGTTCTTTCCCTTCACAAATTATCACCACTAGAATTACTATTTATATATTCTCACAAGTGTGACATAAAATTGCACAATGTTAATTGGCTCATGCCCACTGTTTCCTATCTCTTCTGAACCTACAGACAGGAAACAAAAATAACATACACCTCTGCATATTCAGGAAACATCTACATTGCAGAATTTATCCAAGTGGACAGCACTATAACTGTCATAACTCAGTGCTATGGAATCATGGAAGTTGTCGTTTTATGAGCTCTTTTGCTTTCTCTGTCAAAGCATGCTAGTGAATCAACAAATCACAACTTCCAAGATTCCATACAACTAAGTCATGGCAGTTAAAGTGCTGTCAAACTGCATTAATTCTACGGTATAGACCACACATATTCAAATTGCGTCCCTTCAGCTGTTTGGACAACCAACTCCCAAAAGTCCTAGCCAGCTTGTTCACTGGTCAGGAATTCTGGGAGTTGGAGGCCCAAACAACTGGAGGGCTGCAGTTTGAAGGCGTCTGGTATAAACATAGTCACAGAGCGAGAAAGAGTCCTGCTTTTTTAAAACCCAAAAATGGACGGGTTCCCCTGATTTGTTTAAACAGAGATTAGGCTTGTGTGCCTTTCAGATGTTGTGGTGATTTGCATCTACCAATAATTCTATCAGCTCCTGGAACATTCACCAAGCATGTGATGAAGAGATTCCATACTCTTCAGGGACTGGAAAAGCAAGCAATGAGTAATGATGGGAGTTGCAGTCCAACAACATATGTAGAAATGCATGATTCCCACTTCTGATTTTAAAGGAGCTCGGCTGCTTCTGCAAAGCCTAAACTTTGAGTCCCATTGGAAGCAACCCCAAGGAATCATAGAATCAAAGAGTTGGAAGAGACCTCAAGGGCCATCCAGTCCAACCCCCTGCCAAGAAGCAGGAATATTGCATTCAAATCACCCCTGACAGATGGCCATCCAGCCTCTGCTTAAAAGCTTCCAAAGAAGGAGCCTCCACCAAACTCCGGGGCAGAGAGTTCCACTGCTGAATGGCTCTCACAGTCAGGAAGTTCTTCCTCATGTTCAGATGGAATCTCCTCTCTTGTAGTTTGAAGCCATTGTTCCGCGTCCTAGTCTCCAGGGAAGCAGAAAACAAGCTTGCTCCCTCCTCCCTGTGGCTTCCTCTCACATATTTATACATGGCCATCATATCCCCTCTCAGCCTTCTCTTCTTCAGGCTAAACATGCCAAGCTCCTTAAGCCGCTCCTCATAGGGCTTGTTCTCCAGACCCTTGATCATTTTAGTCGCCCTCCTCTGGACACATTCCAGCTTGTCAATATCTCTCTTGAATTGTGGAGAATGCTTACCCAGCGAAATCACGTTCTCGTAGTTTTCCTGCATGACATCCCAGTAGAGGGCTCTTCTATTTGCGTTCAGCAAGGCCCACTCTTGCTCGGTGAAAAATACAACCACCTCCTCAAACGCCACCTGCATCTTAGAAAAACAATATCTTTATTTCTTAAAAGAGGTCCAACCCACAATCCACAACACCAGTCATTATCTTGCTATCATTATCAGGAAGGGGCTTAAACAATAGGATTTATCACTGTTCCTATTTCCGGCATGGATGGGATAGGATGGCACTCTTTTTTCCCAGGGCTGCTGCTGTCCTTTTGCCCCTACGTGTTTTCGCTGCCACATTCCTGATTGGGTTTCTGATTATATGCTACTCAATTCACGTCATTTTAGGCTACCTAGTTCAAAGTATTTTGGCAAGAAAGTTACAGAGTTCACTTAATGACCTGGCATCTTATAGACAAATAAAAATGCTATGAAATATCTGGCAGTAAAAACATTTCTGCCTTTTCATAGAGGATTAAAAAATCTCTAGTGAGGCTCATGGGCAACTGTAAACTTCTAGAAATACTTTTAAATGATTAACGAATTACAATTCTGGATTTTGTGATGTTAATGCTATATTAAGATGTTAATTCTAAATGTCTGTTTATGTTCTATGTTTAATATGATTTTAAGGTTGAATTTATAGATATATGTTATCATTTTAGTTATAATGGTTTGGTTTCGTATATATGTTAGCATTGAATCTTGCCATTACTTGTTGTACACTGCTTTGAGTTCCTTCAGAGGCAAGAAAAATGGCAGATAAATGAAGCAAATAAATAAATAAAAATAAATAAATTGTTGCAGTAGCTTGGTTATTTATAATTTTAAAATACTACAGCATTTAATTTTGTGTTATATTTCATTATATATGTTTCGTAAACAGTGGTGGACTGCATCTAAAAATATTGGTTGCCAGAAAACAAAGGGACACCACACACAACTATAAGGTTATCATTTAATTTTTATAAGAAATAAATGAATTTTGTTTAAAAAAATACGTTCGTGGAAAAAGATGCAATTAAAATTATTGTAAGATAAGTGTGTAATTTCAGTAATTACAGTTTGCATATATTACTGTCAATATATAGTTGATACTAAGTATAAATACAAATTGTTACAACTGGTTTTTTTTAAAAAAATAGAAATAAAAGGTGGACTATCTAATGTGGACTGTCTGTGTCAGTGGTTCTTAACCTGTGGGCTGTGAGGATGAAAATCTGATCGGCGAGCCTCCTTCCTTTTTATTTATTTATTTTATTTTATTTTCACTCCTTTCGTGCCGCTTGCTACTCCTTTTCTGTTGCTGACCATGGCATATGTTCTGTATCAGAAACTAGAGCTGATGTGGTCTATCCAATGCAATTTTATGAATCAGCACCCCTAACTGAATCTGAAGTTGACCAAAAACTGATTTGTAACTCTTTTGGTACTAATGTTGGAGAGTGATCCCCGGTCAAAGTGGTCCCTGCTCAAAATTAGGTTGGGAACCACTGGTCTATGTTTACGGAGGCCCACTTGCCATTGAGCAAGCTGACACCCTGACCTGTCCACCACTAATTTTGAGGTGTTTCTTTTGGAGATTAATAGCTATACACTTATATATACTGAACTGGCAATGCTTCTAGCTTTCCTCTCCTTTCAATTTCAATATATGATCTTGTGAAAGTGTAATGATAAATACAATTTACTATTCAAAGTGCTGCCTACAAATCACCGGGATCTTTCAGAAAGCCATGACAGTTCAAATAACAAATTCAAGAAAAAGTAAGAGTGGTTCAAGCACTGTGTGAGGATTCTGGAAACCAAGACTCGAATCCCCACTCAGTCACAGAAACCCACTGAGTGGCCACAGGCAAATCACACACTCTCAGTCTCAGAGGAAGGCCATGGCAAAGTCCCTCTGAACAAAACTTGCAACAAAGACAAAAAGCTAAGTTGATCTTAGGGTTGTCACAATTCAGAAACAACTCAGAGGCATACAGTAACGACAACAATTCTGTAAAGATTATCTAGCCAAGATCTAACTTTCCATAGGTAGAAATAATAGAACAAAAACCCCTCTCCCCCTTGTACCCCTCATTTTTACCTCCCCAAAGAGATACAAAAAGAAAGCATACCTGCAGAAGCAATGTGGCCCTCAAACAACAGGATGGAGTCACAGGAAGCTAGAATGAAATTTTGCCATCTCTTCATAGGAAAAAAGACCGCCTGGAAATTATATAACAGGTATTAGTCTAACCTTGTGATTTCTCACTCTTACATTAAGAACTGTAATCTGAACGTATCTGCCCTTATGAACCATCTAGTACCCTAAGATCTTCTGGGGCAGCCCTGCTCTTGGTCCCACCTTCTTCACAGACTTGGTTGGCAGGAACAAGGGATAGGGCCTTCTCAGTGGTGGCCCCTCGGCTATGGAACGCCCTACCTAGGAATATCAGATCGGCCCCCACCCTCCTAACATTCAATAATAAAAAGGTAAAACCTGGCTTTTTGAGCAAGCTTTCCCAAATGCAGTGTAGTAGACAAACTCAAATCACTGTGGGACATGTAGGTAATATGCTACATATTAGGCGTAAGGTAGCATCTCTCATACAATGGAAGCAGCCCATATGTGTGAGGTAATCCAGCCAGCGTCTCTACTAGATCCGACAGGTTGTCACACACTAAGGCAGAGATGGGAATATGTATCCCTGTCGACGCCATTGCAATTCGAATCCCATCTGCAATGAGGGATAATAGCCATTACAGTCTGAAATCCAAAACATTCCTGGTTCCAGGCAGTTTGGATAAGGGATACTGTAGCTTGAAATATACTTGAAATAAACAAATATTTATTTGAAAATTATTTTTATTGAATTTTGTCATAAAAAAGTAAAGAGTGTAATTGGCTTAATATCCCAACTGTTCCCCAAATTAGGATTCTAAACAGTTTACAAACAATAAGAAATATTACAGATAAAACATTGATTTACGAAAGTTAAAAAGGACTAAATGCCATCATCCTTAAAAACATGATGAAAAATAGTTAACGGCACTGAATATATGTTTCAAACATATGGTACATCTAAACTGTAGACTTCATGTAGTTTGGCGCGGCTTTAACTGCCACGACTGCAAAGTCTTTAGCCTTCTCTGCCAAACAGAGCTGGGGCCTCACTGCAAACCCCTGGCTGGATTACATAGCATCGGGCCACAGAAATCAAATTACATTAATTCTACAGTGCAGATGCTCCCAAAAGAATAAAAAAGAATAAAACACATACCACTTTATAGTAGTCTTTTGTCCATTTATGGCAATTCTATGAATTTCCTAATGTTTTCCTAGGTAAAGAATACTCAGAGGTGTTTTTGCCAGTTCCTTCCTCCAAAAAAACCCTGTACAACATCCAGTATGTGTTAGCCACTGAAATAGTAACCAGCAGGATCTTACTTATCACCCAAAATCAGAAGGATCGAGTGCCTTTTATGGTATTTTGCCACCACATGCACACCATAAATCAAACTCAACTGCTTTGATTGTGTTTTCCTCCATGGCAGGGGTTGGATTTGATGGCTCTTGTTTTCCAACTCTAGGATTCTATAGTTTTTCCCTATTGATAGCATGAGAGCAGAGAGGGAAGTCCCATCTACACTGCCATATAATCTAGTTTCTAAATGTAGATTAAGTGCATTGAATTGGATTATATGGCAGTGTAGATCCAGACCGAGTTCCACTAAGGAATAATCACATCCCCAACCTCAGCTGAGGAGGAGAGAAATCTTTGTGTATCCATCTCCCTGCCATATATATTCTCATAAACCATTATCCCCTACTGTCACCTAGGTTGCATATTCATTTATTTTGCTTACCCCTCTGACTTCTACACCCCACCCTGAAGTCTATGGAATCTGATCCTGTCTGATTTAGACAGCTAAGCAGGGTCAGTTCTGGTTAGTACTTAGATGGGAAATCACCAAGGAAAATCAGCTGCTGTAGGCTATATTTCAGAGGAAGGAAATGGCCAATCCACCTCTGAGCATTCATTGCATAACAAAAATATTAATGCCAGGGTCGCCATATGACAGAAACAACTGGAAGGCACAACAACAATCCTAGGAGCAGCAGATCTTGTCTGATCTTGGAAGCTAAGCATGGCCAACCCTGATTAGTCTGTGGAGGGGAGGTCACGAAGGAGTATCAAGTACTATATGTCAGAAACTCCTAAAATCATCTAACGATATTCATTACACAATAAAATACTATTAAAGGTATGGGGTCACCATAAGACAGAAACAACAGGAAGGCACACCACCACAACAACAACAACAAAAACAACAACAACCCTAAGCCGCCCCGAATCCCCTAGGGGAGATAGTTGGTGGGGTGTAAAAATAAAGTTGTTATTATTATATTATTATAAGAGCAGCCAATCCTATCTGTTATTGGAAGCTATGCAGGGTCAACTCTGATTAGTCCTTGGAGGGGAGGCCACAAAGGAGTATCAAGTGCTGTATACTATACGTCAGAGTAAGGACTTTCTCACAATATTGATTGTAACAAAAGCCTACTGGAGCCAAGGGGGCAGTGAACAACAGGAGGTCACACAACAACAACAACCACAACAAATCTAAGAGCAGTAGATCCTTTGAAGGGAGAACACGAAGGAGTATACTATAAGTTTGAGGACAGAGTTCCTAAAACCAATGCATAGTATTCATTACACAACAAAATCTTATTAAAGGCATGGGGTCACCGTAAGACAGAAACAACAGGAAAGCACACAACACGAAGGGATCCAGATATTGTCTGATCTTGGAAGCCAAGCAGGGCCAAACCTGATTAATCCTTGGATGGAAGACCCAGATATCGTCTGATCTTGGAAGCTAAGCAGGGCCAAACCTGATTAATCCTTGGATGGGAGACCACCATTTTGCCATTGATTATGTTGTGAACCCGCTTTGAGTCCCCCCAGGAGTGAGAAAAGCAGTATATAAATGCAATAAACAAATAATCAAGTGCTGTAGGCTATATTCCTGAAAAAGGAGCTGGCATTACATAATAAAGCCCTGTGAAAACCATGGGGTTGCCATAAGACAAAAATATCATGAAGCCACACAACTAGATATGTCTGATCTGGGAAGCTAAGTAAGGCTAGCTCTTGGATGGGAGACCGATAACAAATACCATGCTATACAGTAGGAATGGGCAAACTTGGGCCCTCCAGGTGTGTTGGACTTCAACTCCCACAATAGGCTGTTAGGAATTGTGGGAGTTGAAGTCCAAAACACCTGGAGGGCCCAAGTTTGCCCATGGACTTCAACTTCCACAATTCCTACCGGCTGTTAGGAATTGTGGGAGTTGAAGTCCAAAACACCTGGAGGTCCCAAGTTTGCCCAGGCCTGCAATACTGGGTGTCCATTAAGTCTCTTTGAATGGTCAAGAGACTAGATTTCTGAGAAGCAACTGCTCAAAAACCACCCCTGTGCCTTCCTTTCCTTGCCTAAGAAAATAATAGTATTGAGTCTCCATACAATCAACAAGAATGGGCTTTTCGTGACACTCCTGGCCTAAGAAAGCCCTGAGGCCGCCATAGATCAACAGAGCAGGAGAGGAAGTGAATGGATCCCAGCAGGGCCCGCTCTCACCTTAATGGGGCCCAGGCGAGGAGGAAATGGAGGTCCCAAGGCCTTCTTCCTCCCCAAGGAACAACGAAGGAAGAGTGGAGGGAAGGCAACGAGAAGGGCTTCTTTCCTCCGCCGCTGCTTGGGCTGCAATGGGAGCCTTTGCTGGAGGGGCGAAGGCGAGAGAGGAGGGCGGCCTCCCCGTTGATGGAGGCGGAGGGCGGCGCCAGGAAAGAAGGGAGGAAGGAGGAGGAGGGCCTTGCTGCAGCAGCACTGCGGCGCCCTGCTTGGGAAAGAAGAAGGCCTCAGGCCTCCCTCCTCCCAGGGACAGGGAACAAGGCTGCCTGGAGGACATGGGGAAATAGTCAGAGGAATGATATAATAAATATAATATAATATAATATAATATAATATAATATAATATAATATAATATAATATAATATAATAATATAATGTTAACAATGTTAATAATAAATAATAATAATATATAAAATAATAATATAATAATTAATAATATATAATGATATAAGAATGTTAATAATGTTGCAATTCCAGGTGACAGCAGGATTGAAGAGAACAACTGGAAAAGCTGACACAATGTTGTTGTTCATTCGTTCAGTCGTCTCCAACTCTTCGTGACCTCATGGACCAGCCCACGCCAGAGCTCCCTGTCGGCCGTCACCACCCCCAGCTCCTTCAAGGTCAGTCCAGTCGCTTCAAGGATGCCATCCATCCATCTTGCCCTTGGTCGGCCCCTCTTCCTTTTGCCTTCCACTTTCCCCAGCATCATTGTCTTCTCTAGGCTTTCCTGTCTTCTCATGATGTGGCCAAAGTACTTCAACTTTGTCTCTAGTATCCTTCCCTCCAGTGAGCAGTCGGGCTTTATTTCCTGGAGGATGGACTGGTTGGATCTTCTCGCAGTCCAAGGCACTCTCAGAACTTTCCTCCAGCACCACAGTTCAAAAGCATCGATCTTCCTTCGCTCAGCCTTCCCTAAGGTCCAGCTCTCACATCCGTAGGTTACTACAGGGAATACCATGGCTTTGACTAGGCGGATCTTTGTTGCCAGTCTGATGTCTCTACTCTTTACTATTTTATCGAGATTGGACATTGCTCTCCTCCCAAGAAGTAAGTGTCTTCTGATTTCCTTGCCACAGTCTGCATCTGCAGTAATCTTTGCGCCTAGAAATACAAAGTCTGTCACGGCCTCCACATTTTCTCCCTCTATTTCCCAGTTGTCAATCATTCTTGTTGCCATAATCTTGGTTTTTTTGATGTTTAGCTGCAACCCGGCTTTTGCGCTTTCTTCTTTCACCTTGATTAGAAGGCTCCTCAGCTCCTCCTCACTTTCGGCCATCAGAGTGGTGTCATCTGCATATCTGAGGTTGTTAATGTTTCTTCCAGCAATTTTCACCCCAGCTTTGCATTCATCAAGCCCCGCACATCGCATGATGTGTTCTGCATACAAGTTAAAAAGGTTGGGTGAGAGTATGCAGCCTTGCCGTACGCCTTTCCCAATCTTGAACCAGTCTGTTGTTCCGTGGCCAGTTCTGACTGTTGCTACTTGGTCCTTGTACAGATTCCTCAGGAGAGAGACAAGGTGGCTTGGTATGCCCAT